GGGCTAAGCTGTGGTCTGTGACATGCAGGAATGCACCAGAGGGTACCCTTACCTCATCCCTGTAGCCCCCCCCCTCGGATTTAGCAGGGCCACGGAGGACGGATCAGACACAGGAAGCGGAATGCAGGACGCTGCTAGGGCTCTTTTTAAGAGCTTAAGGGGTAGGCGGAACCTGAGTGACGGTAGTGTGCTGCAGAGCGGTGGCCAGGAGGTGGCGACACTGAGGCTGAGTAGGATATCTCTGAGAGCGAGTGTGACATGGTGTTTGGACCTTTACCTTGGCAGACATCCAGCCTGTAAAAATAGCCACTTCTCCATGATGTCACCACAATGTAAGATCAGAGTGACCTGCCTGCTCAGGGCTTCAGGGGTCTGAACAAACAAACCCCCCCCAACACCCCCAAGTGTTTATGCGTGCGTGTGCGTTTTCACCACGACCCTGTGCCTCTCACCATGCTCAGTGACCCTGCGAGCCGCAGACCGCTCGGAGCAGCAGGCCCCGCCGTGACCTTTGACCCCTGACCCAGAGATAGGTGCTACAGAAGGCCGGTTTGCACAGAAAGGGACTGCTGGTGTGCGTGCCTAGGCGGGGGGGCATAGCCAAGCTGGGGCCATTGATGGGGGTATGTGCAGGGGCATACCCGAGAGGGGGAGGCGGAGGGGGGGGTAGAACCCCGGGGGCATGTAACTCGTGTTTATTTCGAGTCTGTGGGAGAGGCGGGCCGCATGCAGGGACATTCACACGCACTCTCTTATTTTTACCTGCTGGCCCCCTGTCCGTCGTCTGTCACGTGGACCCCCCCGCCCCCCCGTCTCGCCTCCTTTCCCAAGTTTGGTCAGTTTGTGCCAGGAGGTGACAGCCATGTCAGGTGACGCCCCCCCCCCGCCAGCCACTGCGCACACGCATAAGTGTCCATGTTCCGCTGCCCCAGCAGAGACAAATGACCCAGGACAGCTGCTCGTAGATGGGGCGAAACAGCGGGTGTGGCACATAGAGCAAGGCATGCTGGGAGCTCTGGTGTTGCTGGGGAGGAACGGGCAAGATAGAGAGAGAGGGGAGGGGAGAGGGGGAGTAGGTCAGGGTCACTGATACTTAGAACTGTGGGAGCATGTATTACTGTAGCTTATTACCCCCCCACCCCCCCCAGCAGCTGTTCATCGTGCCCCTGCCCCCCTACGTTGCATCATCGGCACCATGATCACCCTGGAGGGGTGGCCATTTGAGCTGGAAACACCCCAGGGAGGAAAATATGTGTAAATAGGCGATACTGGGTTTTAACACAGCCAGAGTAATTAGGCTGAGGCCCCACATTCCAGGGCGGCTGGGGGGGATTTCAGAGTCCTGCAGAAACGCTTGGGGGGGCGGACGTTCTCAAACATGCTGTACAAGACAAAGCAAAGAGCCGCCTGTCTCCTACAGGAATGCCTGTCAGCGGTCCGCCCGATGATCCCGTGCCACATACTCCGGAACGTTCTCATCCGTTTCCTTTACAACTCCAGCAGAAGTGCTTCTCACTTTGGCTGCACTTCGGCCACCTGGATTCGGGCCGGCAGTGGTGTCTCTGTCCAGCACACTGTATCTTTCCAGAACATCCATCCTGTGTCTGCCCCTGCACATCAGAGGGATTCCGGCTCATTCCACACCTATGACTGGAATTCGGCAAACATGCCCCATAATTCTCTGCGGTGGTCTAGAATGTTCACCCCCTTCCTGTAATATTCTCTTAAACCGCATGGCTGGAGTGCCTCAGCGGCTCTGACAGGTTTACACACCGATGAGTATTTCAGACCCTCGCACAGCCCACATGCCCCCTGCCTGATACGGGCCTTTCCTCTCCATCCCGACAGGCGCTGGATATCCCTCATGGATATCCCTGTTTTTCCAGTTTATACTCGACACAAAGGTGTGAAAACTGTCAGTGCAGTGCTCCACTGTCAGACACCTTCTCCTGGACCTCGGGGTCCCCCGGCAGCCCGCTGCAGTGCAGTAACATGGCCGCCTGCGTTCGGACGGGCAGCTTCCTGTCGACAGGCAGACACGCAGCCCCGCGTCTGAGATGCTGTAAGTCAGACAGGCAGACACGCAGCCCCGCGTCTGAGATGCTGTAAGTCAGACAGGCAGGCACACATTTGCCAGTCATGCGGTAACAGATGTCGGCAGTGGTCCGCACCGAGGGGGGTCGGCGAGGAGGCGGGGGTGGGGTTGAGCACTAAAGAGATCTCCTCAGGCTGCAGTGCAGGCACTCGTGTTGCTGCTACGCAGACGGCACACCGGGGGGGGGGCACGTCCGGCACTCCTGATCTCTCTCGTCCCCCATTTCTGCAGCTGCCACGCTGCCTCCGTGCCGCCGCGTTGCGCGGCTGGGATGTCCCGCTCCTCCGCAGAGGGTGCTCCTGGCAGCCCGCACTTTGCTATTGGACGTTTCCTGGTAGGGAGCAGCGGATCAGGAGGTCACACACAGGCACTGCGGGGTCTGGGGTGAGGAGCCCAGGCTGCAGACATCCAATCATTCCCCAAGTCCTTTCCTATATTTCCATTGTGACGGAGAGCGGGGACGCCGTCAGTGACCGCAGTTTGGCAGAGTGCCGTGGGTTAGACGCAGATCTTCAGAAGATGCCCTCAGTTATGGCAGCTGCAGCCCACCAAGGGCACTGAAGCTCCCAGCAGAGAGCCACCAGAGCCACACAGCTCCTGCTAGCGGCGGCTGCTCTACCCAGCATGCAGAAGGGGTGCGAAGCCGCTTCAGGGACCGACTCCGGGTCCAAGTCTGCGTCCGGGGCTGCTTCTGTTTACCCAGTGCCTCATGGGGAGGAGGACGAGCAGAAGGAGAAGCGAGAGGAGCCGGAGGCGGAGTACCTGAGCTCCCGCTGCATCCTCTTCACCTACTACCGCGGGGACATTAGCAGCGTGGTGGACGAGCACTTCTCCAGGGCACTTAGCGCCTACATGGAGGGAGAGAGCAAGAGGCACAACGCAGCTGTCAGGGCAGGTGAGGGGCGAGGCCACGGGAGGGCCGGGGGCGTTAGCACACTGCTGGGCAGATTAGAAGTGTGTAAGAACAGTTAGAAGGGCAGAGGGAAGGGTATGGATGCAGCAGAACTGAACACGATGCAGCAGGACTAAGTGGGATTGAACAGTATGCAGAGGGATTGAGAGGGATGGGACAAGACTGAGTGAGATAGAACAAGATGAAGCAGGTTTGAGCGGGATGGAGTAGGATGCAACAAAACAGCAGGATTGAATGGGATTGAGAGTGACAGAGCAGGATGAAGTGGGATTGAGTGGGATTGAGCAGAATGAAGCAGGACTGAGTGGAATTGAGCAGGATGAAGCGGGATTGAGTGGGATTGAGCAGAATGAAGCGGGATTGAGAGGGATTAAGCAGCATTGAGCAAGATGAAGTAGGATTGAGTGAGATTAATGTAGTGAAGCATATGATCAGGCTTATAAACACCCAGCATGAGCTGTGCACAGAACCAACAGAGCTATTGTATTACAGAGGCTCTGAAAATGGCAGCATGACCCTCCTACAAGCGACAGAATGTAACAATCTGCTTTTCGCATCTTTAGCCTGTGTGTGTGTGTGTGTGTGTGTGTGTGTGTGTGTGTGTGTGTGTGTGTCTGTGTTTATGTGTGTATGTGTCTGTGGAGCGGAGCCCCCACCCTTGTTTAATTGCTACATCTTCATCAAGGGGCTGAGGGGAGCTTCCTGCCTGACGACTGATGCTATGTTTGAATGTGCTGGTAAGCGCAGGGGCCCGCGGGGGCACGTGTTCCGGGGGGGCTGCCCAGTCCGGCCCCTGATTTACGAGCAGCCTGTTTGATCCACACGGCAGAACCGGTGTCTCTTTTCAGAGGAATTCTAAATATAAAAAGCAGCAGCTAACAGAATGCAATGGGCTCCTGACATTTTAACAAGGCCAGGGGGCCCATTGAAAACAACAGGTGGGGGGCAGAGGCTGGCGGGACCTGGGGTGGGGGGGGCTGACACAACAGTGAGAGATGTCACTACAACAAGTGATTTAGGGCAAAGCTAGGCCACCTTTGCCAAGCCGACAGGGCAGCTGGCCTTATAGAGGGGTGATCACGGCCTCTTGTGATGGCTCAGGGAAGACTCCCAGAATGAGGCATGCAGGAATGCCTCTCGGGGGATCGACGGGGCCGTGGGGCTGCTCTCCACGCCTCTCGGGGGATCGACGGGGCCGCGGGGCCGCTCTCCGTGCCTCTCGGGGGATCGACAGGGCCACCGGGCCGCTCTCCGCGCCTCTCGGGGGATCGACGGGGCCGCGGGGCCGCTCTCCGTGCCTCTCGGGGGATGGACGGGGCCGCTGTTCTTTTTCCAGTCCAACTCTAACCTGGCATTGTGTCCTGCCCCTCTCTCCCCCCACAGACCACCCCACCCTGAGCGGTCGCCGTAACTTCCCTCCATCCTTCTGGGACAGTAACTACCCCTCCGCACACAGCCGTCTCCCCCCCGAGGGAGCCGCCCCATACCCAGTGGATCCTTACTCCCCCAGCCTGCACCCTGGTCTGCCCCATCCACACCCGCACCCCCACCCCGCCGAGACATGGGGCTACGCCCAGGGTCAGACATTCACTCCAGCTCAGTCTCTGCACGAACTTTACACCCCCGCGGGCCTGGAGCCCCACTACAGCCCCCTGCTTATGCCTGCTATACGGCCTGCTCACCTGCCCACCCTGGCTGCACACTATGATGTTGGCAAGCTCGATGGCGCCCCCTCCTGGCCGGGCCTCCTGCAGCCGGGAGACATGGCCCAGACACTGGCTCTGAACATGGATCCAGGTGCCCACACCCCGACGGGACTGAATCACAATGATTTGTTCATATTTTATAACACATTATTTAATAATTTAAAACATCACTTTTCAACATTCACAAGTCCTCAGTGAATGCCCTGCTGACAGGGTTAATTAAGTAATATAAATCAAATAGCTTTACGCTCAGAAAATGCTCAGAAAAATGAACTGCAAATATATAAAACAGACAATGTGTGTCACACTTTATTATTAGTGTGTCATGTTGCAGTATTGTATTTTTAACGTAAATGACAATGCAAAGACGACCACTTCCATATTTCTATGCACATAACTTTACATACATGTAATTAGCATGTTGTCTTTCACAGAACATGTGTGATGGCTCGCTTCCCTCTGTCATGTTCTGATGCAGGTCTGCAGCACCATAAGAAGCGGAAGGAGCTGTACTGGTTCTAACCGCCGGCATCACAGGTCGCTGTGAAAGGCGGCCGAGACACACGGTCTCTCTCACCCCGGAGACAGAAAGTAAACATGTCTCACGTGGGGAGGGGCCTTGTCTGACGGGGCCCGCCAGCGCACTTGCGCTTTTGCCGCTGCTGGAAAGCAGACAGACTCTTGGTCCCACCAGGGGACAGCATGGGCAGCAGGCAGCGGATGGAGGGTGTCCTGCCTCGAACCCTGACCGGCCGCATGGTGACCTCAGCGACACATTCACACTGCACTCAGTGATGGTCGAGAAATGAGGCTGCTTTTGCTGCTGCTGTTTGAGCGCTTTACTTATCTATTTATTTCCGTTTATGTATGACGCAAGCTCTGTTTGGATAACAACGATAAGCTGCAGCACTTCCTGGCTATTATGATCTGCTGAATAACCAGCCAGCACTGAGATACATATGAGCGTTAACATTTTTCAGAAACACTAAAGAATATGATGTACGGATGGATGTCGGTTTGGCGGCTCAGCAGGCGGCCCTGGGGGTGGGGGGGGGTGCGCACCCTGAGAATTGGGCCCCACCCTTAGGGCGGAGTAGGGTGGGCCCGGCCAGTAAGGAGTTCATCCATCCCAGCTAATCTCAGAATGCTCTAAACCAGCCAAAGCTTTTTAAAATCAGACTTCAGACCGGTGCATCCTCTGGCTCTCAGCCTCCCTTCCAGACCCTCCTGTTTCCCCATCTTGCTGCTCCAGTCACCACACACATATCTGACGGTTGGAAAAGGCTGCATTTCTCACCTCTGCTTGAGATCCTCTTTGGATCTGAGCTATCAGCTGACCAATGAGCCTAGTGACATGTGAAGCATGTATCTACCTGTTGCAGAGTTATAGATGTGTTTCAGTTCATATTCCTGCTCTGTGTTCCATAAAATAGGCTAATAAACAGAACAGACTTGCGCTGATATATGTATTGTCCCCAACACCAGCACAGCTGTCAAACCAAGAGCTCCCATGTGTGAATGCACCAAGTCCTTGGTGAACGCCTCTGTTCGCTGGTATTCATGAAGGTGTCCGCATTGCAGTTTACCTGCGTTTCCTCTTCATTCACTTCATCTTCCTGCGTCTCCGTCAAATAAGCCCTTCTCTGCTACTACAGGCAGCACCAGGCATCACGATCTGCCGAAACAAGTAGTGAGACTCGGCTTTAGGAGGGAGCTGCAGTCTCAGAAGAGGCGGCCTGAGGTGGACCGTAACGCCCAGACACACGGAGGATGCGCAGGGGGCTGTGGGCAGCACGATGGACTAGGGCACCCGGGTAGCGACTGAATGCTGGATCCTGGGTCTGAGGGACAGAAAAGCCCCCAACAAGGCACTATATTATAAACTATCACATGGTCTGATTACCATCTGAAACATATCAATATATTGCAATAATTGCAGACAAGAGTATGTCTCGTCACCTTTCCGCTCAAGGTGGATTATAACGACTCCAAAGTAACTATCCCATTCATTCATTCGCCAGGTATTTGCGTTTGTTTTGCATTTAGTTTTTCTGAATATGGGAAGAGAAATTACGCACTTTACACATTCATTTATGTTGATGTGTTTTCACGTGCGCGAAATCTGTTACGCCATATTGGGCTATTCTGCAGTTATGCTTGTTCGGTTTTGGATGTATAGTTTTCAATGTACCGTTTTCATTTAAATTATCGTTCATAATAATAAAGTGTTAATAAATTGTTGTAGGACCGTCTGAGGACTTCAGTTCTGTTTTCATGTTTACATTTATGTGGTTTCCATTGCAGAGATCACAGTCTTTAGTTATGTATAATATAATTATATCATAGATCATTATTTAAGTTGTAGTTTCTGTTTCTTTTCTAAGTTTAATAATAGTAGCTTGGTATGAACTGCGGAAACAGTCAGTCAGGTTTCTTGCTTTCTAAGGATAGAATGGGGAAATTCTCTTTGCCCCACCTTGCCCTCCATACAGGTGAGCGCTAGCTTGGAGTCACAGTGAAGGGGTAGCTAGTTTGTGGTGCCCAGGGAGCTGGGGGGTAACGACCTCACCACACACAGCCCCCTACAGATACAGTACATCATGGGACCCAAATTTCTAGCATAGCATTTATATTAGCAGATGTACAAGATGATACTAAAGAATCTGATGAAGTATGAAGTACCTGTGGGACTGTAATTAGATGAGGTTTTCAAGCCTAGTCCACGTCTGCGCTCTGAATTAGCGATTTAATTACAGTCCGCTGTTTGAGCCAAATAAAAGCTTAAACGGCGCCACCATGTGGTCGATCTATGTCATGAAATACATACCTATGCCAGACAGATGCGTTTTTGTTGGTGGGAAAACGTGGCCTTACCGAAATGCGGCAAAGCTAGTTATTACTGTCGCTGCAAGAACTTCTGTAAATGCATCATTGTACAGACAGATAAAAAACAAATAAAACAGCAAATAAAAACACTTTATAGTGCAATTTAATGTAAATAATGTGGGTTACACTGTAAAGTCATTTTCTGAATGTTCATGGCAGATGAGAATGAGAATCCTTTTATTCAACATGTACAAGGAATTTGTTTTAATGGAGGCACCATAGGTATCGTTAGGTCCAATCACTCAGGGATAATACAGCATAGAGTGAATAAGACCAGGCCTACAAAGTACAGTGGGTGACTAACTATGGAAAAGAGCCTTAGGGACAGTGAGCTTCTCATGTTTAGGAGTGCAGGGGCTGGGGTGAGAAGCTCTTCAGGTGGCTGTTTGAGACTTAATTGTTTTTGTTTTATTACCTGTGAAGCGCATTTGACATCTGTTCTCGAACGGTGCTATGTAAATAAACTGCAGTACTTACATGACACATAAACGCAGTCTTATGATTAATCTGTGAACATTGATTGAACCCCCATATAGTTCAGTTTTGTGTGATTAGAAGCCAGTGATAGTGATCCTTAATGCATCATTCTTGTGCCTAGCCCATCTTGCTCTCTTTGAGACACAGAGGCTCACACTGCAGGGTCAGCCAGCATGCAGTGCATCTGTAGCCATCAGGGATATTTGCTTGCAGGGTAGTTGCCCAGTGCGGCTCTGAGGTCCCAAGGTGAGGCTTTGTCAGGGGGCAGGAATACCTTGATATAGACCTGAGCATTCTGCGTGCCCCGGGATTCAAAGCAGCAAGGCTACGAAATGTAGGCCTATACGAAATATGCAGGACGAATTGCTAAATGGTTCTAGAATAATTCTTTTTCAGGGGGCTGAGTCAAAAATAAAGTCTAGAACCACCTGTGGAATGAACATTTCACGTAGAGAAAGTTATGGTCCCTTTTTGTCTTGGCGCTACTGAAGTTCTCCCGACTGACAATAATCCGTGCCCGGGTGCATGTCGAAGCTCCTCCGTTCCGCCAGGGGGCGATTCTCCCTGTTGAGGCGCGACGCCGGTGGAGTTCAATCTGTCGGCCATGTTGAAATAGTCGCCGCGTCGCTGGCTCACAGTCCTGAGAGAGCGGAGGAGCTGCAGCCCGCCATTGTGTCGAAGCTAGGCTCTGCGGAGAGACAGACAGGGGCTAACTCTCGCGTAGACCTTTTCTGACCGTTTAACAGTGCCCGTTTTAATAGCAGCCCCAGGGGGAGAGAAATGTCAGCCAGCAGCCTTCTCGAACAGGTAACGAAAGGCACTTTTTAACATTTCCGAACGCCGGAGAACAGCCCCGGGACGCGGCTCCGTGCTGCTGCAGCAGGCCCGACCACCTGCTACGCCGCTCACTGGCCACTGCACTTCTTCATATTCTTCGTATTTTTTTCCTTCTTTTCTTCTCATAACTCAAACCTTCATGAATCACCTGGACCCAATCCAGAGACCGAAAGGCCAAGGAAACAAAGGTAAGACGGCGGTTCGGGAGCGGGGTGGCAGCTTGACGGGCGATGTGTCTCCGTTCCGTGTGGGCAGGAGCCCGGGGCGCAGAGGAACGCTAGCCGGCCATGCTACTAGCTATGCTAATGGGTAGGCTAACGCCAGCCTGAAGGGCCCGCGGCAGGCCCGTGTGACCTGAAACCCGTCTTGTCGAAATTGTTCACGGTAAATAAATAAATAAATCAATAATAATAATTGAATGCGCGTCCGAAACGAGCTTATTCCTGCGTTAGGCCGGTTCCCGGTCCCCTTCACGCCAGGTGCCGGACGCCCGGGGTCGCTTTTCCCTCTCGGTTTCTCCGAGGCCACTGCGTTTCGGCTGCGAAGTTTTGCGCTGTGGGCGCTGCGTTTACGGCCAGGGAAGGACACGCGAACACGGTGAGGCTCATAGGCCGTCTGCTGGCTTCGAGCCCCATCTCCACGGCCGGCCGGCCGCAGGTAGCAGGCGTCCATCCTGTCCGCATCGCAGGCCCGCGCGGTCTGGAGAGCGGGTCTCCGTGGGTGTGAAGTACGGACGGGTCGGGATCGGCTCGCTGAGCTTAATCTTTTCGTCCGATTTACTGATTATTTGTTTTCTAAGTTATCCAGGTGGGCCCGATGCAGTGGTACCGCTCGGTGTCCAATCGACGGATTGCCGGCTCGCGTGCCGTTTATCGCAGTTAATTTACGTATTAGCAAAACGCACGGTGAATTTTGGTGCTCTTCAGTCCGCTATAGCAGGCGGAAACCCCCCCGCCCCCGATAGATTGCAGGTAATGTCAGCTTTTAATAGCCATCGAGCATCGCAGGTCGGCACAGCCGTGCTCTTCGCCCCGTTTTCCCGGTGTAAGAATCTTATTGTCATTATAATTATTGTTGTGCGGTGTCGCTGAGTTATGCAACGTGCAGTGAGATTCCCACGTAGTGCTAATGGCCATTTGGATCGGCACCGGATCTTAGGTCTTGCCGGCGCCCCGGTGTAACTAAGGGTCATCACATGAAGGCAGACAGTCGCCACTGATGAATGTTCCGCCTTTGCAGGCCAGCTTCCATATTTCAAGCCTTCACTACAGTTACTTTTTTTTCTGTATATTTCAGTGCAAAATGGAGCTGTAAACCAAAAGGATGCGCTGAATGATGATGAATTTGAGCCCTACCTGAACACTCAGGCCAGACAGGTAAGTTCTCCATGTTATCATGTTGTAACGGTATGTGGGATTCAGTGTTACACCTGCGTGTCTATTTAGTGCTGGTAGCAAACAGCTTCTGCTCCTAAACCACTTGCCCCTCCACCTGGTCACGGCCTACCGCCATGTCGCTTAATGTTGGATCGTTAGACACGAGCTCTGGCCAGGTGTTCCTGACACATGGCTTGACAGAGCTGAATGCCTATTGTGGGTTATGTGGGCATCACACCAGCTTACTGCGGCAAGTCTCAGTTGATTGCACACAAAAAACAAAACCTTTTTGGCTGTGATTTGAGTTTGTCATGTTTAGAACAATGGAGGCTTTGTAGAGTCACAGATAAGATGTTGCTTCCTGTTTGGAGTCTGCAGGTATGACTGCAAGGTGCCGTGTGACTGAGCCTTGGCCTATAGGTGTCGCCTTGGGGGAACGCTTTGTGTTGTGGACGGTGTTCCTTCACTGATTGGCTTGTACTTGAGTCCTCCTACACTGAGTTCAGCTGAGCTGTTTTATACCTGATTGGCTGCCTTTCCAGTGCAGTAGCATGAGGAGGATAAGGCTTCATCTTGGTGAAGCTGTGATTTATGGTCACGTTGCTCATGCCGTCTTAGAGGTGCTTATTGGGGCCCAGCCGACAGTCTCGGTTAAGGTGCCCTTACTCTTAGATGCCCCCATGTCATAGCTGGTGCCATTTACCCTGTTGGTTATGGGTGGGTTTATGGCTTCCTGCCGGACTCCTCTCCTTACCCACCCCTGTTGTCCATGTGGCAGCCTCCCTCTGTCATGCCGGCTTCAGGATGAGGAGGGCCCTCTCTGCCACCTCCTCAGAGCCGCTTTAGTAGGAGTGACTCATAAGTAATGGCACTAAATACCAGCTAGCACGGTTTCCTTTGTATAAAGCAGCTGGTACTTGTGCCAGAGAGTGAATGACTTGACTGTGAAGAAAGACGCTTGTTTGTATGGTGGCTGTGCGTGACTCCCCCGAACAAGCGCGCCATTTAGCGGCTGAGAGCGCTGCGTGGAGAAGGACTGCAGGCTGCGAGACACTGCAGGCCTCATTCCGGCCAAGCTGTTCCCCCTGTCTGCCGTGCATGAGGCCTGGCTGCCATCCCTGGCTCTTGTCACCTGACTGATGTCTGAAGGATGAAGGGAGTCTGAGCCAGGGGTTTGTGGGTGGGGGGGGTGCTGAATGCAGGATGGCTTTATTGTGAATCTGCAGCTCGCTCTCCATAAAAAGTGTTTGTGATGTGTAAACGTGCAGCCAGGGGGCAGCAGTAAGCTCAGTCTCCACACCCCGACTGACAGGCATGAGCAGCCCCTGACAACCTCCCTCTTCTCTTTCAGAGCAATGCCTATACGGCCATGTCTGACTCCTACATGCCCAGTTACTACAGCCCTTCCATAGGATTCTCCTATTCGCTGAATGAGGCGGCATGGTCCACAGGAGGGGACCCCCCCATGCCTTACCTGACCTCCTATGGACAGCTCAGCAATGGGGAGCATCACTTCCTGCCGGATGCCATGTTTGGCCAGCCGGGGGCCCTGGGGAGCAATCCCTTCCTGGGGCAGCATGGCTTCAACTTCTTCCACAGCGGCATTGACTTCTCTGCCTGGGGCAGCAGCAGCTCCCAGGGCCAGTCCACGCAGAACTCGGGCTACAGCAGCAGTTACGCCTATGCCCCCAGCTCCCTGGGGGGTGCCATGATTGACGGACAGTCCCCCTTCGCCGCCAACGAGCCCCTGAACAAGGCCCCCGGGATGAACAGCCTGGATCAGAGCATGGCCGGGCTTAAGATTGGCGCTGGGGACATGGCTCCCAAGGTGGTGGGCTCAGGGCTCCCGGGGGGGGCCCTCAGCCAGGTCTCCGGGGCCCCCAGCATGCCCCCTGCCTCGATCACCCCAGCGAAGCCAGCCTCCTGGGCTGACATCGCTAGCAAGCCGGCCAAGCCGCAGCCCAAGCTGAAAACGAAGGGTGGTGTGGGCGGGACTAACCTACCCCCTCCACCGATCAAACATAACATGGACATCGGCACCTGGGACAACAAGGGGCCTGTGCCCAAGGTGTCTGCTCCGCAGCAGGCTGCTATTCCCAGCAACGGGCAGCCGCCTAACCAGGCCTCCCCTCAGCCCGGTGCCACTGCTGGGGGAGGCCCGCAGCTCCCCCTTAGCAATGGACAGCTGGTTCCCCCTACTGGGCAGCTTGGACAGCACCAGCCACCCCCCACTCCCCAGCAGGGTTTGGCTCCGCCCCAGCTCCCTCCAGGTCCGCCCGCTCCCCAGCCGGCAGCACCCACGCGTTGGGTGCCCCCTCGTAATCGTGCCAATGGCTTTGGGGATGCCGGGGGTGGGACTGGGCAGTCCCCGCCCACTTCTGAGGTGGGAGGGGTTTCAATCCCCCCGGAGCCACACCCCGTTCTTGAGAAGTTGCGCTTGGTCAACAATTACAACCCCAAGGACTTCGACTGGAACCCAAAGCAAGGGCGTGTGTTCATCATCAAGAGCTACTCGGAGGACGACATCCACCGCTCCATCAAGTACAACGTGTGGTGCAGCACGGAGCACGGCAACAAGCGTCTGGACGCCGCCTACCGCTCGCTGGGAGCCAAGGGGCCGCTCTACCTGCTCTTCAGTGTCAACGGCAGCGGGCACTTCTGCGGCGTGGCCGAGATGCGCTCGCCAGTGGACTACAACACGTGCGCTGGCGTGTGGTCGCAGGACAAGTGGAAGGGCCGCTTCGACGTGCGCTGGATCTTCGTCAAGGACGTGCCCAACAGCCAGCTGCGGCACATCCGGCTGGAGAACAACGAGAACAAGCCGGTGACCAACTCGCGGGACACGCAGGAGGTGCCGCTGGATAAGGCCCGGCAGGTGCTCAAGATCATCGCCAGCTACAAGCACACCACCTCCATCTTTGACGACTTCTCGCACTACGAGAAACGGCAGGAGGAGGAGGAGAGTGTGAGGAAGGTAACTTGCCACCCCGTATGATGTACTTTTACCATGGAAATAAGACAGAATGTGTTGTGCAGCCGGACGGCTTTTCACTGTACCTGACTGCTTGTATGAGACCATGGTGTGGGCCATTATTCAGCCACCTGGCTGCTCTCAGCCCGCCAGGCTTCCTTTCTGGTTGGTGGTGTAGCTGGCTCTGTCCTCCCAGGAGTGACACGGAAGGGCCCCTGTCGTGAGGGGAGTGCTCACGTGTCCCTGAAGCTCGTCGTGCCGTTTTGCTCGGTGCACTGAAGGCTAATCAGGTTTACCTGCTTTACATGGAAATTTTTAATTTTTTTTAACCAAGCTGTAGTATTTCACTGTCAGTCTCTGTAGCAAACGCTAAAATATACTTTGCTGTTCAGCCACTAATTCAGTATGTAAAGTGCAGCCAGCTTGGTACAAAACGCAATTCTAAAGTTGTTCCCTGTGTTCATTGGCTTCTGTTCTAGCCTGTAATGAAGGTTATGTTCTGAGGGAGATTTTATTGTGAGATGGAGGTGCTGGTTTCTCCCCTGATATTGGCATGGTAACTTGGTGGGGCAGCTGAGCACTTGGGGGCAGTTCCTAAACCCCAGAGCTTTGATAAGCTTTGTGACCCTGATCTTTCTCCCTCGTTATTGGCTGTGGCGGTGTGATATCGGCCAGTCGGCTGGCGCCAGCAGTGACCGGCTCCGGGTCGCTGCACCCAAATCGGATGAGCAGGTTGGATCGCATGTGGCGCCCCCCGTTGGCCAGCGTGTGTGATCGTCGAGCCCCAGCGTTGATTCTGCTATTTAAATCGGGATAGGTGACTGCTTGGCATCTTATGACCGAACATTCTGCCTTGTCTGATTTCTATTCCTGACCCAGTAGCACTGTTCACTTGGCCCAGCCCCCAAGGTGGGGGTGTATCAAGTGTCGGCGCTGACACTATGGGGTGTGGGTGCAGGCCTTCGCTGCTGGGGGCGCCAGTGTGTCGGAAATCTTCCACTTAGTACGTGGGGAGTGACTACTTGTGTGTGTGATGGAAACTCAAGTCCTTTCCTTAAGCAGTCGTGCCTGGCTGTGTCCCCTGTGCTGGCTGTGTCCCCTGTGCTGGCTGTGTCCCCTGTGCTGGCTGCGCAGCTTTGCGTATTCTCTAATAAACGGCAGCTTTTATTTTGTTGAGTCTCTTTTCACTATGGTGGATCCCGCTGGCCATGTCTCTCTACTGAAACTGCCTCAGACTTAGGGAAAGCGGCTCTTACTGCTGCTATGGCTGATTTTGACCGGAAGCTGAGCCCGTCTGAGCGAGTCAGCTGTGCTGCTCGCTCTGCACTGGGCTTGTCGCTCTGCTGAATTGCGGTGAATAGCGTTTCTGCCGCCCAGCCCAAGTGTGCATCCTGACTGGCAGGACCTGTCCCGAGAATCCAGGGCGGAGTCCCTGCAGTTTCCACTTCCTCTTTGAGATGTGGAATGCTGGGTGGGTGTGGCCGGGCTGCGCCTTAGGCTGTAGCTGGGAGGGGATGTGGTGACGTCTGCTCCGTGACCAGACGGGAGGAGTGCTGTCTTCATCTCCCTTCCTAAACATGCTCACACCTACAGCAGACACACTCCCTGACCTTTTCTTTTGCCCCACAGGTGGAAGTTCAGGGAAACGACCCCTACACCAGTAACCCAAGCAGGGGCCATTACAGACTGCAGGTAAGCATCCTGGGACAGCTCCTTTTAGCTCTAAAGCGTACAGACTGACAGCCTGGCGAGGGCCTTGGTTCCAGGTCATGGTTCTGTGTGGATGAGGCTGGCGTGGGTCTGACGGGCTGTCTGAATGCCTTTGGACAGACTGTGGAATCACAGCTGGATCGCATGGGACTGGCGGTGTTGGTGTAGCCTGAATGCATTCATGGATGCGATGGGTGGAGAGGATGGGGGGTGGAGTGCATGCGACGGGTGGAGAGGATGGGCGGCGGAGTGCATGCGACGGGCGGAGGGGATGGGCGGCGGAGTGCATGCGACGGGCGGAGGGGATGGGCGGCGGAGTGCATGCGACGGGCGGAGGGGATGGGGGGCGGAGAGTTTCGTTTCTTATCTTGGCCACTTTATTCCACTTCAGTCATTGCTGGGTATTTGGGCCCAGTTTTGATCGTCTGCTGTTTGTTTTATGAAGCTGTTGCTGGGCTCCTGGGTAAACAGGCGGGTTGCCAGCTGGGGTTAAAAATACATGCTTTCTGTAACCAGTTTCTGTGCCCCCCAGGATCGCCAAGGACGTGTGAAGTAAGGCGTCACCTCTGGGAAAAGACTGAGATGCCCCCCCCCCACCCAACCTCCTCTTCCCTGACATCAGATCTGTTCAGAAGCTCAAATGGGTGAAAGATGATAACCAAGGACATGAAAGAAACTCAAATGAAGACTCTCTTGATTTCTGTTGACTTTAAAGACTTATTTCAAACTTATAGTAAAAAGAATTATTCATAGGACTATGAACTTAAAAGCAACTATAGCATCCTTAGGGGAACTGTTTTTTTTTTTGTTTTTTTTTTTTTTTTTTTTGGCCCCCTCCCCCCCTCCCCCCCCCCCCCCCCCCCCCATTTCACTGAATCCCCTCATTTTCAGTTTTTAAACTTCTGTTTTTACAGTCCCAACAGCAGGCATTTATTACCCGCCCACTAAAGCGTGTTTTTACGTGCGGCCCGATGGCGTGGCCAAAGGGGGCAGTTTGGTTGGTTTTTTTTTTTGCCCGTCATCCCATTCCTTCCCCCTCCCACACCGCCCTCCACGGAGATTTAATTGTCCTCACTGAATGCGCTGTGGTGTCATTGTGGGTAGTCTGATCTGCCTTTCGCACGGTCATTTCCTCAGATCCTCCTCGGCTGTTACACCTTCCAGTCTTCAGCAAATGAATGTGCGGGAGGAGTTTCAGCAGTCGTTCCTTTTTTT